GTTACCGTATCAAATACCAAAAAATGGACTTTGGTCTGTACAACGTAACTTATCTTGGCTGTGTTTTAGTCGACTAGTATTTTGTAAAATACAGTCACATTTCAATTGTTATACATTATATATGTATATAGATTATTGCTATTTTGAAATAAGTTCTTAAACATATTTTCCCTAAAACATAGAACTGTAAATAAAGAAGTAAAGCAAACAATTATCTCTTCTAGTTACGACCTTTGTACTCGGTTGCTGCTTTACATAGGTTGCTAAGCCTTTTAAAACTTTGCACTTGGAGGATATGAAACAAAATATACTTTTTAGGCTTTATATACACATTTGCATAACTAAGAATCATAAATTACTACATCATCACCATAGAATTCAACTATAATTTATCAAGCTGAGTATCTAAGATGTATTTTACTCGAGCAGACTAAAGACACAACCTACCTCATTGAAATATTGGTTCAATTAGTTCAAAGAAGGTAATGGCGCTAGCCACGCTAGAAAGGCTGAGAAAGCCACTAGGGAGACATTCTGAGCTTCCGATTGGTTATTCATGTCATATATAGAAGTAATTGTATATAAGAGAGCATTTGCAAAAATGGAAAGAGGTGGGCGGGGTGCCACTGTATTTGATTTATTACATGAGCAATATCTTAGCAAATAGAAAAGATAAAACCTTCTTATTTCATATTCTAGCTTGTCACTATCTGTAATTTGAGTTTCTAATTCGCACAAAACTATAAACTTAGTATCTTGTCTTCACAAATATCTAATTTGACCCAGAGCTGCATTCAACATACCACGTGACACACAAAGATCGATGTTTATCTGTGTTTTTGTATTTACTTGTAAAAATTAAGAAATTGAGTAATGTATAGTTCTACAATTTTATTTATAATCTACAGTTTGATACCAAACTGGACATAAATTCTTGAAATAGTCGTTCAATAAGATTTTGAATGCGAGTCAACAAACGAGACGACATAGCCTTTCACCTATGACCCGTCTCAAAAGGGATATTTTTTTTCAGAAAGTTGGTTTTCGTGTTGGAGAATACCAACGTAGTGATGCAATACAGTTTCAATATTGTGATTAAGACAATACAACTTATACAACTACTAATATTGACGAACGTTGACTATATTAGTTTCTAATACATTATTCCTTTAAACTTTAGATTACATTTCTATTTTGCTTTGTAAATTAATTTAAGTCGTCTTAATTCAATACCTCAGGTATATATCCATCAATATATGAAAAAGTAACACATTTTTCCAATCCAGTATCACGGTTTCGAAATGCCTACAATTAAAAAAAACTTACTTTCATATAGATTTTTGAAAGAGATGTGAACATGCCCATTATGATATCCCAAGCTGGAAAATAGATAAGATGACTTCGAGAACCATTCCTAACGATTCCTTTTTTGTGATGATGTCTTAACGATTTCCTAATAACTTCCTACCGCGAACATTTCTGACGGTATCATGAAAGTGTTTCTATCGGATTTTGTTTTGATGCGGCACCAGGAGGTCTTTATGGCATTCTTCACTGAAGGAAATATAAGAAAAGTAGTTAACGTTTGATAATTTGTTACTCTTCTTTTAAATTTAGTAAACTACTAAGGATTATTTCTGAAACATTTCA